TTTGGACCGACGATCGATTGTTTTGGACCGACGATCGATTGCTTTGGACCGACGATCGATTGTTTTGGACCGACGATCGATTGTTTTGGACCGACGATCGATTGTTTTGGACCGACGATCGATTGTTTTGGACTGACGATCGATTGTTTTGGACCGACGATCGATTGTTTTGGACTGACGATCGATTGTTTTGGACCGACGATCGATTGTTTTGGACTGACGATCGATTGTTTTGGACTGGTGATAGATTGTTTTGGACTGGTGATCGATTGTTTTGGTCGGACTGATGATCGATTGTTTCGGACTGACGATCGATTGTTTTGGACTGACGATCGATTGTTTTAGACTGACGATCAATTGTTTTGGACTGTTGATCGATTGTTTTGGTCGGACTGATGATCGATTGTTTCGGACTGATGATTGATTGTTTCGGACTGATGATCGATTGTTTCGGACCGATGATTGATTGTTTTGGGCCGATGATCGATTGTTTTCGACCAGTGATTGATTGTTTTGGACTGAAGATCGATTGCTTTGGACTGACGGTCGATTATTTTGGCCTGATGATCTATTATTTTGGGCTTGAACCACGTCAGTAAGGTGCTATTTATATGACAGACCTTGGTGGCAGGCCTCAGACTGATGAAGGCTTTCAGATGAAAGAGGAAACGTTTCTTCCAAAGAAGAATCTGTCCAGATGAGCTGATTTAACCGTTTAGTGAATAAAATAAGAACTTGTCTTCAGACGCGGCGCAGGTCGGCTGCCTTCAAACAGATGTTTCTGTAAACTGAGTAAAATACACCATATGGTCTATAGTTGTTTAGATAAACAGATTTTTACTTCATAAAAACAAAAGGCTTCGTGTGTCAGGGGTCACATGGGAACATGTAAAACCTAAAGCAGGGTGCAGGCGGTGGGGTACTTGGAGGTGAACACTTTGTTCTCCGTCCCGTACACGAAGAAGCTGTAGTCCTTCCCGCTGTACGAGTAGAAGGCGTGAGTCAGAGGGACGAGCTCGATGGTCTGACGCTGTGGAGAACAGAAGGCGGCCATGACGTGTGGACCGTTTAACCTCACAGAACAATCCGAGATTCAAATACAGTAAATGTCTGTTCTGATCGCTCAGAAACAAACTAAATGTTTCTGGACCAAAGTCCAAAAAGATTCTGCAAAAGGTAAGGTGCTGAACACGCAGCGGTAACTCTGCAGAACTGAGCTAAGGGTTAGAGTTCAGTCCGTAGAAACTAAAAACACGTTTTTTTATTTCCAGAAGGGAACTTTTTGCAGTTCGAACCGTTTTCTGAGCTCGGGGTGAGAAGGTTTGTACCTGCTGCAGGATGCGGCTGGTGGAAGTGAAGCGAAGCAGGTGTTCGTTGGTGAGTTTGGTGGAAACGTCACAGATCTCCTGATCAGGAAAACCCTGGATTGGATACACCTGAAGGAACACGGAATAAACAAACAAACAAAAGCTGCTGAACATTAAATACAATATTTCTGTCAGACTGAAATCGGCTGAATTGTAAAAAACTTGTTTTTCCATAAAGGCACAGCTGAAGATGTTAACATGATCAGACGTTACATTTAATGTTTAAAAAGCAGAAAGTGGCGTTTCTTTTTACCAGAACGTTCTCGTCGATGAAGAACGGATCTCCTGAAACTTTCTCAAACTTCCTGTCAGGGAAGTCCGGCTGGCGGTCGGGAATGAAATGACTGACGTGGTTCTTCCTGCGCACATAAAAACCAAATCAAAGACGTGAAAACCAAGCGAGGACCAGGAGACCGTGTGCTGGCGGACCCACCATGTGACTGTGAGCTGGATGAAGTGCAGCAGGTTCTGAGCCCCGTGGCACACCGAGCACGTTCTGTAGCCGTCGCCTCGGCAGCTCAAACACCTGAAGAAGTAAAACGTTTCCCTCACAGCTTGATTCGTATAAAACTAAATCAAAAGCATGAAAATAAAGAGAATGTCACGTGACCTCTGACCTTTTGCGCCCTCGACCGTGACAGGAAGTGCATGGTTTTTTCCTGGATCGACCGAGGCCGTGACAGAACGTACAGCGCTTCTGGTAAACGAGCAGAGAGACCAATCAGAACAAACCTTCATACCAGACCCAGAACTTTTCTCCAACACGCTGCGACCAGCGGTCCGACACGACACTGAGCAACTGAAGTGTTAAACCCGGTCCTGTTTGGACCTCCAGCTCAGGTCTCACAGCAGAACCATGGTTCAGACTTGAAACGGGTCACAGGAAGTTGGACTGAGCTGCTGTTTTCACATTTTTAGCTCTTGACATGATTTTAGGACAAAATGTTCAACTTTCTGTTTGATGACATCACAGTTTTTTTATTTTAGATGTCTGAACTTTTTTAATGTTTTGCAAATAAATTCTTAAAAACTTCCACAACTTTAACTTATATCTCCAGATAAACACATGAAAATGTAGACGTGCTACCATCAGAGCCTTCTGCTGCTCACAGTTCAGGAAGGTTTTATTTTTGACTTGTACCTTTCATACGGTGACCCTTTGTCCGAGGCTCACTTTTTAGTCTGTATATCTGCCTCTCCTTGCGGTGCTGTCAGGGTGTGGGGTTACCACGGTGACCCTGATGAGTCACCAGCAGCTGTTTTAAAGTTTTTATTTTTGACATCAAAAAGCATTTTATATAGTTTCGTTAATTTTAAAGCTGATGTTGAATTTTTGGGCCGTAGCTGTTGCACCACTTCATTTATCAATAAATAATTAATTTTTTTCTTTGGTTATTGAAATTAAAACAGTTTTGTGGCAAGAAAAATCATTAAAAATATTTCAGATTTAAAGTATTCTATACGTGACCTCCACCGACACTTTCTGATCAAAACACATCGTTTTTAATTAATAAACTGAACCAGTATGAACCAGTTTGAACCAGTTTGAACCAGTATGAACCAGTTTGACATGACTGTCAGGGAGAGGGCGGGCATCGGAGGAGAGGGCGGGCACCAGAACCATCTTAGCACCAACACAACTGTTTTGTTTTATTTTGGAGTAGCTGCTGGTGGAGCATCAGTTTTGTTTGGTGTTTCTTCAGACCGATGATGAAGACTTCCAGGTGGAGGGTGAAACGTCTCAGCACAAAAAAAAAAGAAAGCGTCCAGATGACCTGACTGAACATGGCTGGATTTTATACCTGGATTATTGAGCATGGACTTTGGTGAATAAACTGAAAAGTTTGTAAGTTGATTTGACGAGCAGCTGAAAGACCTTCACACGTGACTAAACACCAGCTCTCAGATCTTTCTGGGTTTCAGATCTTGTATGGAAGCTTCTGAACGTCCCAGTTTCCGTCCGCAGGCGCAGCAAATGATCTCACCATGCCTCTGCCGAAGCAGCCGGAGCAGCGAGTTCTGCCGCAGCCTCGACACTTGTGGCACACCTGAAACACATCCACACGTTACTGCTCCAGGACACGACCTGCAGCGGCTCAGGGAACCTGAACGGGACAAACCTTCACGAACGACGAGTGCGGCACTCGGATCTTTTCCGCCTTGTCGGTGTAGATGGGAGGCGTGGACACCGGGACGTCCCACGGTGGAGGACTCACACCGTGCTGAGGACCGTCCACCGTCTGACCTGATTGAACACCAGAAATGAGTCGAGGGGGTTCGAGTCAAAATAATCCCTGAGGTCTCTGCTGGTCTCTCAGAGGTCAGAGGTCACACGTCCAAACTCCCATCAACTTCCATTGTATCTGAGCTCAGAGTTTTCTCCCCCAAACAGGAAGTGAAGGCTCCTTCTAACCTGCCATATCTCCTCCATAAAACCCTGTAGAACCCTCAGACAGAAACTGTGGTACCATCAGAACCATCTGCCGCTCACGGGTCAAGAAGTTCTAGGATCAGACTTACAGTTTTCCCACAGAGACTGTTTGTCTGAGGCTTACTTTTTACTGTGTTTCTGCCTGATTTGCTGCTGTGTGCTGCCCCTCCCCTTTCTATCACCAAGGTAACCAGTGACTCAGCAGATTGGGGGTCTTTTATATTACCCAGCATGCTTTTCTTCCTCCTCTGTTTCCGTTATGGCCGCCCCCACAGATCCTTCATGTCTCTGATCGGACCGACTACTTGACTACTTGTGTTCAGGAGGATTCAGTCAGAGGGTCGGCAGGAAACAGGAAAGGGACTGAAGTTGGATTTTCAAAATAAAACTCAGAGATGATCTTTGAAATAAGAGTCTGGCTCTGTCACAGCATAGATTATTGTCACAAAATAAAATGCTAAATTCCTGTGAGGCCTTAGAGCAGGAAGTGGTTTGAGTCTCACTGACACCCTTCAAAGGTTCTTTAAACATTTTCTAGTTTTTTATTTTGTTGTGAATTTTTTTACCGTTGTAGGGCTCAAAGTGCCAGGCGCTGGTCCTGGTCTCGGTGTAGGTCTCCAGTCGATACTGCAGGAGGAACAGGAAGAGAGTTGGAGTGAAGGATTCTGGGAAGATTTCAGATTATTAATCTCCCAGATGACTCATGGCAGTGAAATGTTTCTGACTGAGGGGTTCAGGTTCTGAAGCTGCTGGTCGGCCTGATCTGGACCAGAACTCCCCCCAGGTGAGCTATTGGGTCGACTCCTTTCATGACCCAGATCCTGCAGGGCAGCCAGAACTTTTCACATTAAAGTATTAACATCTTTACCTTTCGGAAACCTTGTACGCTAAAGTAAAAATAATTTTTGTGTCACCGTGGGAACATTTCCTTTAGTTGTGGAATTTGTTGTAAGTTAAGGGGAGTAGCGTTCTGTTCACGGTGTTTTCAGATAAATCTTCCTCCATTCGTCCGTGTGAGGGACCAGTTCTTACCCGGTACACCGTGATGGGTTTCAGCTCCCTGAACGTGAGGTTCCGGGCTGGTTTGGAGCTGTACTTCCACTTGGATCCCACAAACCTGAGGAGAGCGTCTCGGGCCACGTCCTCCGACACCGACGGGACCCTGCGGGAGGACCACAGCTCATCTGTTAGTTCACCCAGACCTGGTCCAGATGAACGGGCCGTGCTGGTGGTCACCTGATGGTGGGGACCGAGGTGCTCCGGTTGAGCTCAGGTTGGGGGTTGTAGGCAGGGGGAGGCGGGTGCAGCGGGTCTTCCTCCTCTGGACCTGCACAGCAACACCAAAACAAGAGACGAAAGGAGGAGAAATGCTGAAAATAACTCCGGAGCAAACAGGAGAACGCTCACCTCCTCCTCTGTGGCCCTGATACCCATGGATGTCCTCCAACCAGCCAGGAGGGGGCGCAGACGGTCCCTCCTCTGGTATGTTTGGATCAAATGAGCCTGAAAGGACGAGCAGAAACCATCACACCTCCACCACCGTGCTTGACAGTTGGTGTTTGCTGCTGTGCATTGTGGGTAAACGTCTGTTTTTTGGTCTGGTTCTGTTCCAGAAGTCTTGTGGTTCATTGGCGGACTGGAGTTCTGTAGAGCGGTTCGTGTTTACCACGAACCTCCAGATGTTCAGCCTGAGCTCGAACACCACCGACCAGCAGCGCCGCCTCCTCCGTGCGTCTCCCTTCACCTCTCTGCAGCTGATTGGTTGATAAAAATACAAACGCAGTCATGCTGTAAACAATACATCTGGCTGGGGGATAAAAATATCAGCGAGAAGGTGTTTCCCCAAAAAGATCTGCTGTGAGATGGACAGAGAGTGAGAACAACGTGAGGGAAGGAAGGCGAGCGATGGAGCCTCCAGCAGAAACTCCCGAGGCGGAGAGGGAGCCTGAGAACAAAACCACCTGATTAGAGACCAGAACCACACAATAAACCTCCTGGACCCTTTGTGGTATTTCCTGATACATGCAGCACCCCCTGGCCTGGCCCCAGGAGGAGGCCTTGGTACCTCTGGTCCAGGCAGGGTATGGTGGTCCCTCCTTGGCCTTGTCGTGCTTGTGAGGCCGGTGGACTCGCTCTTCGTCTGGACCCTCAATTAAAACACAACCAGAGGGAAACTGACCCTGAAGACATGAACCCCGAGGCTCTGAGACACAAAGACCCCAACCTCAGCCAGGTGGGGATCCAGGGAGGGGCTCATGAAGGCTGGACTCACCTTTAGGGATCAGGAGCTGAGCTCAGCGATGTGGGAGGAGCTTAGAGTCGCTGCTGCTCCATCAAAAGGATGAGCTGGTTTGAGCAGGTGGGAAAGAAAAGACTTCTGGACGTCTTTCAAGGGAGGGGTTTCAGACATGTCCCACAGACAGGACACCCCGAGGAAGACGTGTCCCACTGAGAGGACACCCCGAGGA